ACCCTTAACCCCAAAGCCCTAAAGCCTATAGCTATAACAGAACTACCCCTACACCCTAAAGCCTAAGCCCGATACCCAAGGAGCCCTAAGGAACCAGTTTGGTAACTAGTTCGAACCCTACCACTCCGCGATGAGCCTCCCCCAGCCCTTTATAGAAACCTGTAGGGTTTAGGGTTCACTGGAACCCCTTTGTGGAGGCCCTGGAAAGACGCCGATAGAAACCCTGATGCCAAAAAAATAGGGTTTAGGGGGGTTTAGGGGTTTAGGATTTAGGGTTTAGGGTTTAGGGATGTGTTTTCTGAGTCCGGATCCTCGAGAATAAACTGTGCCTTTCTCTGGACATCAGACGCTTCCAGGTCCACGTTTTCGTAGTTCCTCGGGAGCTCTCTTTCGAACGCTTTGAGTCTATCCTTTTCGGGTTTCTATAAGGTTTCTAGCAAAGGGCTTAGGGTTGAGCATGTTTTCGTCAGGCAACAACGCTCGGCGAGAAAAAACGAGTCTGAAGAAACGCCTGGGTTGAAGCAAACCCTGAACCCTAAACCCTGAACCCTAAACCCTAAACCCTAAACCGAAGGTGCCGCGACAAAGCCGAAAGGCGCTAAGATGTCCAGCACTACTCCGTCCTTCTCGGCTTCTCCCAGATGGTAGCCTTAGGGTTTAGGTTTAGGTTTAGGGTTTAGGGTTAGCCGCTTAGTTGCCCCAGAAAGGTAACCGCTTCACACTTTAAATTATGGTGGGCGTATATAAACCGCAACAATTAATGGCAGGATTAGATCAAAAGTCTAAACTTGGCTGACTTTTGAACCCCTCCTAAAAGTTAAACTTTTAGCCTACTTATTATAGTTCATATAGAAGCCCCAAAAGTTAAAGTCTAAAGAGCCAACCAGAAGAACGCCAAGTAAAAGTTACCTACTCAGCTACGAAGTAACAGTGCGCCGGCTGCCACGCAAGGCTTTCTCGACCATTTCGGGCCTCTGGATCAAGCCGGCCGAACAAGCGCAGCGCACTCCGTCCTGGGGTCTTGTCGATGAGCTTACCATCATAGGGACCTATTGCAAATACCACGTTTCCTTATTATGGTAAAATACAACGGTTCCTTCCTTAACCCAAAATCCTTACTGTAACCCTTGACCCAAAGTCCACCTTTGGGACAAGGATGGCAACTTAAACTCCTGCACCGCAAAGCCCTAAACCCCACGCGCTAAACCCCCAACCCTAAACCTTAAACCCTAATATAGGGGCCTTAATAATTAGAATAAGGCTTTGGGGGCCCATTTTGCTATAATTACAACCAGGGACCCCCCCAAAATAGGATAGGTAATTATTTAGGCCACTACGTTACACCTAACTGAAACTCCTTAACAAGAGCTCCGTCCTGGGGTCCCAGTGACGATGATTTCTGTAACTCTTAACCCTAAGTCCACTTTACTCCTTAACCGCTAAGCCCTAAACCCCACACCGTAAAACCCCTAAACCCTAAACCTTAAACCCCTAAACCCCTAAACCCTAGACCGAACTGAAAGTCCTTAAACCCTAAACCCTAAACCCTAAACCCTAAACCCTAAACCCTAAACCCCTAAACCCTAAACCCTAAACCCGAAAGTCCTTAACAAGAGCTCCGTCCTGGAGTCCCAGTGAAGCCGATGTACGTAAGCCCTGGGGGCTGGCTCGAGCCCGAGCCTTCCGATCCAAAGAGCCTCGAGACGGTGGCAAAGGTGGCGCCGTCCCGGAAGTGCCTGGGTTCTTGTTTTAGGGCTTAGGGTTTAGGGTTTAGGGGTTTAGGGTTTAGGGGCTTAGGGTTCAGGGTTTAGGGGGTTAGGGTTTGGGGTTTTAGGGTTTAGGGTTCTTGTGAATCTAGGGGCCTTGATAATTAGAATAGGGCTTCGGGGGTCTATTATTTATAAGATAGTTACGATAGGGAGCCCCCAAAACTCTTTTTTATTTATTAAGGCCCCTATAGTTTAAGTTTAGGGTTTAGGCGTTGCAGAGGTCAAGGGGTTAAGGAATCCTGGGTTTAAGCTACCATAATCGGGAAACCGTATGACTTACTATAGCTCGCTCACTACAATAAGGACATCATATAATTGACACATGCTTGCAATGTAAATTACCATAGGAAAACCAGAAAGTTTCCAGAAAGTTACGGTAGATGTTCAAGCAACCATGATAAGGAAACCATATGCATTGCTTACTATAGACCCCCATCATGGTAACTTAAACTCCATTCCTTAAGAAGAACCCAGGTGCGCACGGTGGCATTCCTCGCAGACGACGGCCACACGGCCACGTCGAAGGACTCCTTCGAGCAAGCCTGTCATCGGTCGGCCGCGTTGCGTGCGAAGTCGTTCCAGCTTTTGCTTGGTTGTTACGACCGTGAAGCACTTCCGCCGTCCGGGGTGCAAGGATGCCACAAGCGCTTTGGCAAGGCTGTTGCGGCTGTCATCTGCACGCCGGATGCTCTCCGCATGGCACCCGTTCCGGAGTAGAAACTGCTCCACTGTATCTCCCAACCTCGGCTGACCCCAAACAATAAACCCGAAGCCCTTAACCCGAAGTGCGAAAACCCAAAGCCCGAAGCCCCAATACCCTAAAACCCGAAACCCTAAACTAAGCCAGAAACCCTAAAACCCGAAACCCTAAACTAAGCCCCAAACCCTAAAAACCCTCAACCCTACACCCCAACAAGGAGCTGACGGTCAAGCTGAAGCCGATCGGTAAGCAGCAGCACTAGACTGAAGCCACGGCCCTGGCTGGGTCTACTTTTTAGGGTTTAGGGTTTAGGGTTTAGGGTTTAGGGTCATGGGACTTAGTAAGTAAGGTTATAAGTCCCTTAAATGGGGTTATAAGTATAGTTACCTTAGTTATAACCCTACTTACTAAGTCTCATGATCCCTTAACTATTCAGTTCCATGTAAAGTCTGCGGTTTAAGGTTTGGGGTCTTCAGGGGTTCGGGTTTTGGTTTGGGTGTTAGGGCTTAGGGTTCAGGGTTGAGGGTTTAGGGTTTAGGGTTTAGGGTTCAGGGTTGAGGGTTTAGGGCTTTAGGACCTGGGCCCTAAACCCTGAACTTCAGGGTTTAGGGTGTAGGGTTTGGAGCTGGGCTGTTTTGGGACGGCCTCGCTGTCCTGGAGACCACTTAGGCAGTGGACCAACCATGCCATCGTCGCAGACTTGCCGCCGCCTGAATTGAAGTTAGCTTTAGATAGGGTTTAGGGTTTAGGGTTTGCATTGCTCTCACTGTACGACTTTGAAATGCTGGCTGAAGTGTAGCTTCAGATACATCAACAAGTAAGCAGTAAGCATGGTATTGTTGTAGCTAGTACAGTGACTGGTTGAGAACCGCAAGTTGAATCAGGCATGGTGAGGGCAGTCCAGAAATCCCGTCCTGTGGCATGCTGCACCAGGAGGTTGTTCTGGAAAGCGTGCTGCCGCTGAAGATCGTGCAGCAGGCAAGAAACAGCCTGTTTGGTTTAGGGTTTAGGGTTTAGGGTTTAGGGTTTAGGGTTTAGGGTTTAGGGTTTCATCACTAGAGCACTGACAGCTGAGCACTGAAAGCCCTTAATCCCGGAACCCTAAACCCCAAAACCCTGATCCCCAAAACCCCAGAACCCTAAAACCCCAATCCCCAAACCCTAAAGCCCTAAACCCTAATCCCGAAAACCCTATAAAGAACGCACCTAAGGCCCCAAAACCTACGGCCCCAACCTGGGTTTAGGGTCTAGGGTTTATATAGGGTTTAGGGTTTAGGCTTTAGGGTTTATAGAGGGTTTAGGGTTTTTTTTTACGGCTTAGGGTTTAGGGCTTAGGGTTTAAATAGGGTTTGGGGCTCAGGGGGTCCCGGGCCTCCCGCTGGTGCTTCCAGGGAGCGTGGCCTATGCCACGATGGAAGGCCTCATCGGTCTGAGGCCCCAAGTCCTGCACTTGGAGGGTTCCTTAAAGGGTTCCTTTAAGGGCCCTTTTTAAAGGGTTCTTTTAAGGGTTCCTTTAAGGGCTTTTTTTAAGGGTTCTTTTCAAGGTAACTTTAAGGGTTCCTTTAAGGTTTTTTTTAAAGGGCTCCTTTCAAGGTTCCTTTAGGGGTTTCTTCAAGGGTTTCTACAAGGGTTCCTTGAAGGGTTAAGGGTTCTATACGGGGTGGTTTAGTTTAAGGTTGCTTACAGGATCATGGGACTCGGTAACTACTAGGGCCCGTTACTTGTAATTACTACGTCCCCTGATCCTCCAAGCAGACAGCAACATTCTCCAAGCGGTTCAGGCGTCTTGTGGTTCGGGGTCTGGGTTTTGGGCCTTGGGGTTTGGGGTTTAGGCTCTGGGTTTAGGGCTTAGGATTTAGGATTTGAGGTGCAGGGCTTAGGGTTCAGGATTCGGGCTTTGGGGTGTGGAGTTACGGGTTTAGGGCTTAGGGGCTGAATCTTGGTCAAATCCCTGCGATATCTGGTAGAGCCACCCAAGACAACTCCATGTGGTACATGTTTAACCTATTGAGGCGCGAAGGGTTTTTTCCGAGGTGTTCTCCCACCGAGGAGGCCGAACTGCGGCAGGAACACTGAGACAAAGCACAGATGCGTGTGCCCTGCATGCCCGACAGAACCCGCTTCTGCGTAATAGCCACTCTCACACGAAGGTCTCTTCCGTGACTCCATCCATGCTGGCTGTCATGCTGTAGCCCGTGTTCAGGATGTTTATCTGCACCAGATCATCCGTTCTGTCACTAGCAAACCCTTTTGTCATGATGCCCTCATAGAAAGTCCCCACGGCCCAGTTGCTATTATCTCCCCCAATACCTAGAATGATTGCGCCCTGCTTCTTCATGACCTCGTACTTTGGCGGACGTGTGCCATCATAGAGAGTCTTGAGCATCTTCTCAGCAGGGCTGCTTCCACCTTTTGCCGTGGCATCTGCATGCTTGAGAGCAAAGCGGTTCTTCGTGCCTCCCTTTACCTGTACTGAACTTGGGACTCTAGCAAAACATGTAGTTTCAGCTGATTCTTAGGGATTATAGTGACTCAAAATTAGGAAGTATTGCTAAGTACCCCTAAGTTACCATCGCCGTCACAAAGTCGCTGCGAATGGGCGTGTTGGCCGGGCTCTCGCCCCCAGTGCTCCCGGCCCACAGTCCGTCCTCCAAGTCAGCCATGACCCACGGCCCATCCTTTAGGGTTTAGGGTTTAGGGTTTAGGGTTTAGGGTTTAGGGTTTAGGGTTTAGGGTTGCACCAAGAGCTTAGGGGATAGAGGGCCTGGGATATAGGGTACGTAGGGGGCTTCATACACAACCGGAGCAGCGAAGGTATATTATATGACAATTTAAAAAAGACCCTCTAGGCCAGAATAAGACTATTTTTGTGTGTTCATAAAGTCTGTTTGAGTCTTTTCGAGAAATTCTTACGGGCTCTTACAGGGTATAATGTGGGGGCCCTTGTTACAAATATCATGGTGAACATTATGGCATAAGGCCTAGTAAGACTAAGAAACCCTAAACCCCAAACCCGCCGCCTCTGCCCCATGACTGCCCTCAGTGTTCGAGCCAAAGTAGATGGCTTCCATAGTGCCGGGACCATGGTCAAGATTGTCCACCTAAGGAGCTTTCTCTCAAAATTCAACCCGGGTTTAGGGCTTCTTCTTTAAAGTTCAGAGTTTAGGCTTTAGGGCTTGGGGTTTAGGGTTTAAGGCTTAGGGTTTGGGCCGAAAGATCTTTGATCTTTGGGCTAAAAAACACTCGGGCTTCTGAGTTTCTGCCACACCACCTCGGCATTGCCGTAGTCGAAGCAGCACCTGCCATTGTAGTGCTTCCCTGCCACGATCATGTACATCGATTCTGGCTCGTCACCAACTGCTATGTTGCTGGTGTTGTCATTCCTGTACCCCATGCCACCCTCGAACTTGGCGCCGTAGACGGCGCGCAGCCTCTTGGTGGACTGGTCCAAGACAAAGATGCGATTTGCAGCTGCATCAACGCCCTTGTCGGGAGTTTTCACCGCGCCGCCGGCAGGTGCAAGGTCCAAGTGGTTCTTACTCGGTGACTGGTCGTAGATTCGGAACACAGTGCAGGAGTCTTTCTCACAAAAGGAGTCTTGGAGAGAAGAGTCGGCTACACCCGCGCCGGGAAGCACAGAAATATCCTGAGTAGCACCGTCCGAAGAGCGCTTCACCTGATACAAGGCTCCAGAGTAGGATCCGTACAGTGCACGGGTCAGGGAGTGTGCGGCGACGCAGGGTGTCTTGCCTTCGGCGTAGATGTCACAGGGCCCCTTGAGATCCCAGGACCTCGCCAGCACCAGCAGCGATAGGAGGAGGAAGCCCCAAGCCATGGCACTCTCGTAAACCAAAATCTAGGGGATAAGAAGCGCCTGGATCATGAAAGTCCCCCCAGATTGTTCACATCTTCTGCCCAATCAGTACCAAACCTTCTTTACGGATTCAAGATCCGTGGCATTTCCGATGCGATCATTTTTCACCACGCGCATCTAGTCTGCAAAGCTCTGCAGCAGTCAGGCGCAAACGGCACCAATCCCCTCCTAGACCTTGGAAAACTCAAGACCCTAGAAACTAGAAATATCAACCGTCTAGACCCTTCAAACCACAAAACCTAAGGCCCCGCCCTCCCCCCGCCTCCCCCCAAAAAACCGTAGAAATACCAAATGAAACCCTAGAATATCTAGAATCCTTAAACCCTTAACCCCTGAATCAAAGAAGCATGAAGCTGAGTGTGCTATGGCTGAGGTCGGAGGTCCTTCATCTCTTGCGCTTTGCGAGGCCATGTCCACAGCCCATGGCTTCTCGAAGCCTTTACACTTTAGGATCCTAACCCTAAACCCTAAACCCCTAAACCCCTAAACCCCTAAACCCCTAAACCCTAAACCCCTTAACCGGAAACCCTAAGTAGGATCTAGGGTTGAGGCTTCAGGCTTTCGGGTTGAGGGTTTAAAACCTTTAGATTTCTTGGCTGCTTGGTTTGCGGGTTTGGCTCCAGGGTTTCGGACTTTTCGGGCTAAACGGTTTAGGGTTTAGGGGTTTAGGGTCTAGGGTTTAGAGGTTTAGGGTTTAGGGTCTAGGGACTAGGGTTTAGGGTTTAGGGTTTAGGGTTTAGGGTTTAGGGTTTAGGGTTTAGGGTTTAGGGTTTAGGGTTTAGGGGTTTAGGGTTCTGGGCTGCAGGGTCTAGCCTACAGAGACTGCCGGCAAGCAGCTGCGAAACTCCTTGCCTGAACAGAGTTCGGGGTTTACGGGTTGAGGGTTTTCGGCAGGACTTATCAGGATTCCTCTCCGCACGGGGTTGAGGTGTCTAAGGGTTCAAGCTTAGGGTTTACACGTGGCTAGGGCTTGTTGGAGTTTAGGTTTAGGATTTAGGGTACAAGGGTTCAGGGGTTTAGGGCTTTTGGATTTAGAACTGGCAGACCCTAACTCCTAAACCCTAAACCCTATGGACCTGGACACGGACGGCAAGGAGTCGGAGATCAGAAGCTTTGGGTAAACCGTGCCAAGCAGATCTGAGCACTGGGCGGTTTAGGGTTTAGGGTTTAGGGTTTAGGGTTTAGGAAACCCTTTCTCGTACAAAGCTCCTCTACTTGGAGTATCAGGCGACGTGGTACGTAAGGTTGATAAACAAAACATAGGGGCCTGAATAGTTACCTATACTGTTTTGGAGGTTCAATGTTACAAGTACAGTATAATATACCCACAAAAACCTACTCTAATTATTAAAAGGCCCCTACATTAGTTACTTGCTAGGGTGAAGGGCTTAGGGTTGTGATCCTTTCATACCCCAAGCTGCAAGGCTCTAGCGATGCTTTTTCCTTCGCCATGCACTTCATCTCGTATGAATATGTACACTACCGGAGCTCCCGCGGTCGCTTTGCCCTTTGCTGGAAATGCAACGACCGCTTCGGCATAGACGCGGCCTGTTGAAAGCTTGGGTGTTGCCGCGCCTCTACCAGCCGAAAATTGTAGTCTGAACTGTTACCATGGGAGTTTCAGAACGGAAAGGACACTTACAAAGATCCCGAGGTTTACAACGCTTACCTTCAGAGAGAGCTACCGTACCCGTTTATTGCGCTAAACCCTATACTCCAAGCCAAAAACCCTAAACCCCGAGCCTCAAACGCCAAACCCGAAGCCCCAAAGCCTAAACTTAGTGAGGTCGCTTCCGTCGAAAGAGCGGGAAAGCGCAGAGGCGAGGGTAAAGCCTCCTTTTCCTGAGCCAAGGGTTCGGGATAGGTTTAGGGTTGAGGGTTTAGGGTTTAGGGTTTAGTGGTTGGGGTTTGGGGTTTAGGGTTTAGGGTATCCGGACCGCCCTCGCGTAGCTAAACAAAAAAATCCAAACCCTGTCGCTTCACACATCGATTTGCATGGGGGCAGCCCTAAACCTTTTACATACGCCCAGATCCCTAATATAGGGGCTTTAATAATTAGAATAGGGTTTTGGGGCCCATTACACTAAAATTAGCCCATTCTACTAAAATTAGCCCATTATGCTGATAACTAGCCCAGTATACTAATCTTTGAATAAGAAACCCCCAAAATAGTATATACATTGCTTGGAGGATCAGGGGAAATAGAAATGTCAAATTCATCAGGGGACTTAGACGCTAAGATTCTAAGTGATTCCCTCCGTTGGGGATATAAGTACTTATAGCAGTACTTTTAACCACAGCTACCGCATTTATATACCCTTAGTTGCCTCAGTTACTGAGCCCCATGGCCTTTGAGTAGCTTTCTGAAACTCACATCTGCGTCCTCTCGCTTGGAGGAGAACTCGGAACGACTGCTTCGACTCTCGGCAGCTCCTGGCCCTAGGAGGGTCATTTCTATAACTCCTATAACAGATACTACAAGGCATCCCTGAGGTCATAAGGCTCCCAAAAGGGTACTATAGGATTATATCATAGGGTTCCCTTTAAGGGTACCCTAGGATTCATTGAAAAATGGAGTTCCCTTTAAGGGTGCTATACAGGGTTCTGCAAGCAATAGGGTTCCCCTTAAGGCTACTCTACGATTCTAGAATCGGGTTCCCGTCATGGGATATGACGGATATGATAAAGCTGTATTCGCCAGCGTCACCAAAACTGGTGGAGATCATCAGGTTTCTTACCCCTGGAATTCGAAGCTCAAAGCCTAAACCCTCAGAACCCTCAAAACCCCAAACTTAAGGTTTAGGGTTTAGGGTTTAGGGCTTAGGGTCAAACCCTTAACTAATCAACTGGAACCCTAACTAGACATGATGTAGGAACCTGGTTAAGAAACCCTGGCCCTATAACCCAAATATATTAGGGTTCATATTAAAGTTAAGAACCCTAATAAAGAGCCGGGGTTTCTTAATCAGGTTCCTACATTAGCCTCTACATTCAGAGGAGATCAAGGCGCTGGAGCTTGGCTGACTCGAGTCCTGGAGCTTGAAACACAGCCAGTTTGAGAGCTTCCGAAAATTAGGGACATTAATCTAGAACCCTAAACCCTAAACCCTAAACCCCAAACCCTAACCCAAGATCTTCGGTTCTTATTCGGAGGGCCCTTAAAAGAGCACAATAGTCCCGCAACAATTCTCCGAAGGCCCCCAAAGTGGGAGCAGCTTGGCAGTTGGCATCCTGAGGACGACCAACTCCGTGGCTGAAAAGTCCGAAAACTGCTACGAACATCGCCGCATCTCATCTGGGTTCCCCAGTAGCCCGCTTCTATGGTCTAGGGTTTAGGGTTTAGGGGTTTAGGATTTAGGGTTTAGGGTTTCAGAGTTTAGGGTTTAGGGCTTAGGGTTATTTTGATACCCTTGTTTAGAAGGGGTTGCAGGGAAGCCTGGGAATAATGTTGGTATTCCAGGCTCCTCAGTAAGCCCTTAATGACAGGGGTGCCCTTTCGCCTACGATTCGGGTTTAAACGGTTGAAATAATCGGTGCAAAAGAGTACTACTGGGAGACCGCGTCGTTGCAGGGACAAGCAAGTAGATGCGCTTTTTGTTTCTAGGTTCTAGCCGCTGCTTGCCATCAGCCATCATAAACTCAACTTCATCACCCTAAACCCTAAACCCTAAACCCTAAACCATAAACCCTGCGTATGGAAGCAAAGTACATGGCGAGCAGCAGGAAAAGCCTGGCACTGCGGGAATACAACGGTTGATGGACAAAATCCTGCATTACCCACTATAAGGAATATACCATAATTCCCATAGTTTAGGGTCCTTAAGGTCATGCCGGATTTTGTCCATCAACCGAAGCAACGCCATGCCGAATGATTCTGAAGTTCAGTTCAGGCGAACAACCACGTCTGCTGTGCTGCTGGCTGTACAGCAGTCTGCCACCACACACAGGGGTCTGGTGTTCACGCTTTGGCCCGTTGCTTCCGCAAATCCACAGAGGTCAACAGGAGTGCAAGTGTACATAGTGTACTTTCGGATAAATGATAGATACATGCAATGTAATAGTCATCTTTCGCCACAGGTCTCGAAGCCAACGGCAGTGTCGGAAACAGTTCAGGGCAACGGAACGACAAGTTCCGCTATCCATGCTTCCCAAAACGAATGCAAACTGCCGCAGCTGGCATTCTTGGAACATCTCCACAAAGACTCCAGAGTGGGTAGTTCTCTAAATTAGGTCCCTTTTTAGGTCCCCAAAGTAGTACGGCATACTTATAAAAGGAACCCTAGGAAGGACGCCAAAAACTCAAAAGAACCCGCTATGGTACCCTTATAGAAACCCTTACAGATCCCTGTAAGGAACCCTAAACCCTAAACCCTAAACCCTAAACCCTAAACACTTAAGGGGACCCTCGTTCAGAGAACTACCCAGGTTGGTAAGTGGAGGTGAGGTCTACCCTTGGAACTTACGGGAACCGAATCCGCAAGGGAGTGCCTTGCCTTTTGGGGCCATAGAGGTGACATGAGTCAGCGGTTTAGGGTTTAGGGTTTAGGTTTTAAAGGTCATGGATCCGTGGTGCTGGTCAGCCAATCCAGGATCTACGATCTTAAGCTTCCAACTCCGACATCTCCCTCTGGACTCGGATTCCGGCGAGCTTCCTGCAAAGACTTCAAATCCCAGATGACGATGACATATCCGGCCCCCGCCTGGCAAGAAAGGACGCCTCGCGCAGGAGGGATGTATGTGTTGCGGCTCAAAAGCTGTCGGGTTTATTTTAGGGCATTTTAGGGTTTCGGGTTTATTTTTGGGTTTCGGGTCTCGGTTTAGGGGTTTAGGGTCTAGGGGTTTATAAGGGCTTCGGATTGAGGGGTTTAAGATTTCACCGGAGCACCCTAAGCTGAGACAGCTTTGAAGTCGTGCACTTTGCAGGGAGCCTGGCAAACACGCATCCGGGTCGTGCGTGCGCCTAAAAGAACCCGAAAACCCTAAAACCTTAAACCCTCAAACCCTAAAACACTAAAAGCCCCTAAACCCACGGACCTGGGCCAAGACCGCCATCAGCACGCTGCCACCCAGAAACCGCAGAAAGGCCTGAAAAATGTGGGCAGAGACTCTTAGAGGGTTTTGGAGCTCAGGGTTCCTTTAAAGGGTTTAGGGTTTAGGGTTTAGGGTTTAGGGTTTAGGGTAAAGGAACCTACAGGTGGGGAGTTTAGGGTATATAGGGCTTCTATAAGGCTTCTATAAGGTATATAGACCTTCTACAAGGCTCCTATAACGGTAACTACCCACCTTAAAATGTCCTAGATTAAGGATTCTGACTTATCGTTATCACTATTTGCTCTGATTCTCGCTCTGAAGGAACCCTAAACCCTAAACCC